AGTTACTTGCAATACTTTACAAAGATGAGTGGGTGGACGACTTTTATAAAGAAAAACAAAGACATTCACCACCACAAAAGTAAGTACAGTTTATCTGGCACTAAATCCCAAACTTATATTTAGAGAAAGTGAATTAAGACTGAGTAAAACTATGAAAAGGTGATAAGAGGATAAATCTGGATAGGTAATAATTTTATGAAATACATTATGATTGAGCTCCTTAATGCACTCAAAGTATAATCAAATTTTGTGGCTATAACTCATTATATTCTTGTCTTTAAATGCTTCCAAATACAGAAACAAGAAAAATTATATTCATTATTTAGAGTGGATTCCGGTTAATTGGGACACATCGGTCTAGAACACTTTAAGCGGGTATCCCAATTATGTGAAGTTCCCCGCGAAGAGTTAAAAAGGTTTGTTCTATAAAATTTGTCCCATATAAATGGCTTCCCCGATTAACTGATGGCCCAATTACCTGGAATCAACTGTATACAACTTAATGCTCAGTCTTTGTACAAATTTCAGTTTTCAATGTACCTATAATACTTGAAAGATGTCAAACATAAAGTTCACACATTAACCAAATATGGTAATTATATGAAATTACAAAAATTAACAACAAATGCCTTCAGTAAAGAACTGGATGATAAGTGCACAAAAGTCATTTTTAGAAAGTACAGTATTTACCAGATAAGAAGACAATTGTAGGTAAGGAGATTCTGCAATTTTTAGTACTGTTCCCTTAACCAGATGCTTTCTTAGATTAATCCATAATTTACTTAATCCAGTCTTAATGATTGTAAGAAATTGTTATAATTTTAATTAAAATACTATTTTTTAAATAAATTAATGACAAGCAAAGAAGGAAAAACAACAGCCTCCCTACATGTTCAATAAACAGGCTCTGAAATACACTTTCAACAAACACACAATCCAACAAAAAACAAGAGATTTCTAACAAAATAAGGAAATTCAGAGCTACTTTTATAAAAGAAAGTCAGAAGCTTGACCCTTCAAAGCCCTCCACAGATTACAATACACAATGGGATTATTTTTTACTCACTGCTTTGCCACTACTGTGCAAATCAGCTCCTTATCCTGTGGTAACTGTATATACCACCTGCTTTAACATTCAATAACTCTGCATTTCTGCAAATTAGGTTAGGTTAGGTTGTAGGTATTTGTGGTGTCATATGGTTGTCACAATAAATACGGATTATTTCCCCAAAGAAAATTGAGTAATTTATCTTTGTAATGGAAATTCAAAGTGTTTTCTCACAGGCAAAAACTCAGTTTTTAAATATTATTTGGATAAACTTCCTGCCTTAAGATGTTAAATTCTATAAAACGAAATAAATGTATGCCGTAACACAGCTCATCCAAAATGTGAATAACAATCATTTTATGAAGTACTTACTGAACTGTAGGTTAGAAAAAGTAAAGCATTGTTGTAAAAATTTGAAATAACATACTAAATTTACAAATAATTATTTAATGTTATCAGTTCTTACATGAGTTTGGAGAAGAGTAATGTTAATACAACTCATGATAAAGGAGATATTTAATAAAATATTTTGAGTTGCTATCATATTGTTTATGATACATTGAATAAGGACTGAGTAGAACATATTTCTTTAGAAATAATTACATTCTGAATACTGCAATCAACTTAAACATTACACACTGGGACAAATATATATCGAGGTTTTGTGTAATTTTCTTCAGTCTTTCCAGGCAAACACCATTATAGCACCATAAAATATGTCACTAATTACTTATTATTCCCTTCACTTCACTTCACAGTTCATAATCATCCTCTCATCTCATTCAGTCCTGCATAACAAATGCAGTGGTTACAGCATCTTTCAATAATCTTACATTTTTTCTTCTTTTCCCACAACCAGAGCAGAGAATGTTGGCAAAGGTGTGCTGCACATGATTCGCGAAGGGACGCCTGGTTCAATATGGATAAGCATCAACAATAAACCAGCATATCAGATTGAAATCCCTCAATATGAGAAGCTGAGGGTGTAGTCAGAAGTAAACATAAAATGACGTTCGCTGCCTCAAGAAATTTGCTGTCTCACTTGTCATAAGCAAGTGAATGAAGATCCATGGTGCAAACAATTTTAGCCTCAGTTCAAATATATTAAACTGAATAAACAAATTATTTGTTATCACGTATAAGTGCAAAA